CACTGTTCATGTAGAAATTTTTGAAATGGTGTATCTTTGGCTATGTATATTTTCACCAAAAAAAAAAAAAAAAGGTTGACATGGTGTGGGGTTGTTAACCCAAGTCATAAAACAATATGTGTACTACTGTTTCATGAGAAACTATTTGTTCTGTAAGCCTTCACCTGAAGTATAATAAAAAAAATAAAATAAAAAAAAGAATATACGGAAAGGGTCTCACAACATGTCCCTACATAAATCCAATGAACTTTCAGTAAAAAGTGACCTTTCTACTTGAGGAAAAGAGCAGTAGGTTCTTCAATCATTGTGGAGAGGAGCCAATTATGTCTTCTTGTGGCCTGAACTACTGAAGCCAATCATCTCCAGGGCCTTACTGTTAACAATTGGCATCATCCCTCACATTGACTTTTCTATAGAAAAACTGTGGAGCCACCTGTTCTTTGGAAGTAGACTCTGTTATTAGACTATTCAACAGTTCATCCAATTCCAAGTTTCATTAGCAAACCATATTGCAAAACCTCATTGGTAACCACATTTTGCTTTCACATATGTTTTGATTTGTCTACTTGCTGGTACATTTTAGCCAGACATAAAACGGATTCTGTTAATTAAATAAATTTTAAAATTTATATGTTCTGTGCACTCTGCTCTTTGTGTAACCTGATGGTATGTCAAAATATATTTAAAAAATTTTTTGTTTTATTTTATCTTCTCTCTTTCATCCTTTTATTTCTGTATAAATTCTCAGCTTGCTGTTTATTGGTGTTCCACTTCTTAGTTTTTTTGGATGATGCCTCTCATTCATGAATCCTTTTGAAACCAAATAAACTCTTTAAATTTATTTTTAGCTTTGTTAAGAATTTTTGTTTATTAGTGATTTGGTGATGAGGATGGGATTGGAAGGAGACTCTTGTGGGTCTCCAGAACAATAACCCATCCAGTTATGGTAGCCATAGAGTTGTTTGGGCACTCTTGCTCTGTAGCTGCCACCAGAAATGAGACTAGTTAAGTGAGCAAAGAAACAACAAAAAAAATGTAATGCCTGTTTTCTAAAGAACAGGCATCAGGGGTCAGAAGGAATGCCTGCTGGATATGTAAGAATGAGTGAGAGTCATTCTCTTTAGATAAGATTGTTCATTTATAGTGCAAAGTAGGAAAAAAAAACTATGGTGCTAAATCTAAACAGCCCCTATTAGAAGTTTATTTTAATTGGCATTCAGAGGCAACAAGCAAATTTAATGATTCTAAAATAGTGTCATTAAAAGACTCTCTGCAGAAAGCAAATGAAATAAAAATAAATTAAAACATTAGCAGCTTTTCAACATATGGTGCGGCAAAACTGGATGTCTATCTGCAAAAAAATGAAACAGGACCCATACCTCACACCATACACAAAAACTAATTCGAAATGAATCAAAGACCTAAATATAAAACCAAAAATATAAACAACATAAAAGAAAAAATAGGATCGACACTAGAGGCCCTAATACAGGGCATTAACAGGATACAAACCATAACTAACAACACACAATTTCCAGAAGATAAGCTAGACAACTAGGATCTTCTAAAAATTAAACACTTATGCTCATCAAAAGACTCCACCAAAAGAGTAAAAAGAGAACCTACCGACTGGGAAAAAAATTTTGGACATTACAAGTCAGACAAAGGTCTAATCTCTAAAATCTACAGGAAAATACAACACCTCTACAACAAAAAGACAAATAAACCAATTAAAAAATGGGCAAAGGAAATGAGTAGACACTTCATTAAAGTAGACATTCAAGTGGCTAACAGACATATGAGGAAATTCTTGTGATCACTAGCCATTAGAGAAATGCAAATCAAAACCACAATGAGATACCATCTCATCCCGACATTACTGGCACGAATCAAAAAAACAGAAAGTAACAAATGTTGGAGACCCTCAGGGGAGATTGGAACTCTTATGCGCTGCTGGTGGGAATACAAAATGGAACAACCATTTCGGAAAATGTTATGGCACTTCTTTAGAAAGCTAGAAATAGAAATACCATATGATCCAGCAATCCCACTCCTAGGAATATATCCTAGAGAAATAAGAGCTGTCACATGAATAGACATACACACTCATGTTCATTGCAGCCCTGTTCATGATAGCAAAAAGATGGAAACAACATAGATGCCCATCAACAGATGAATGGATAAACAAACTATGGTATATACACACAATGGAGTACTATGCAACAATAAAGAACAATGATGAATCTGCAAAGCATTTCACGACATGGATGAATCTGGAGAGCATTATGCTGAATGAAATAAGTCAATCATGAAAGGGTAAATATTGTATGAGACCACTACTATAAAAACTCATGAAAAGGCTTACATGCACGCGTGCACATACACACACACACACACACACACACATACACACAACTATATGCACTGGTGCCCAGCTAGCATTACTGAACATTTTGATCAATGATTCTATAGGAGAATCCTGATCAAAAAGGGGGAAATGAGGAACAGAATTTAAAATTCTCTTGGCATCCCGATTTTCTGGATCCATGGAGGCTGGATAAACCCCTGAAACTATTGCCCTCAGGTAATCTTCAAACCTTAATCCTCAAAAGAAAAATATCCCCTGAAGTCTTCTTGAGATGTTAAACCCATTAAATTTTTTTTTTAATTTCCTGGTAGATAAAATGTATAAAAATAGTCAAAGAAAAAGATAAAACTAACTCAAAAGACATATCCTTGAACTCTGGAGCTATAGGCTAGATAGACAAAACAGTTCTCAAGATTTTATAACTACTTTTTGACTCCTGTAGTTTTCCTTGAAACTATATCCAAAGTGAATGGAGTTTAAGGGGGGGGGATAGAAAGTAGATGTTTTTCCCTTGATTTTCAGCTAGGAAATTTATCATGTAGAGGACTTACAGCAAATGCTAGCAGTGTTTTGGGGGAGTTGCTAGAATCCATTCTCCCAGTTAATTTGCATAAAACATTTTTCAAAGCTCACCAGCAAACAGAGGAGTTTACTTTGCAATTTATTTGTTAATCCTGTTTAATTGAGCATTTTACTCACTTTCTCGTGAGCAGGCCAGGATTGACTTATTTATTACAACAATTATCCTTAAAGGGCTATAAGGCCTCCAAAGAGAAATTACAATTCTGTCTCCCTCTGGTATATTACTTAAGGCATGATTTCAGCGGTCAGTGGGTCTTTTTAACTACTGCCCAACTGACAGCTATATGAGAATTTTGTAAACCAAACACCAAAATCAATTAAGAGAATTTTTAGAACTTACAAAACATTACGGACTCTGGGTGCCAAAGAGTTTCTTAAAACCTCGGTACCCTGACAGGAGAAACAACAGATTCTGGCAGCAAAAACAACAACAAAATGCTTTTTCCAATTTAAAACAGCTTTTACAAAGCCCACTAGTTTTAGGGCCTCCAGATTG